CAATTTAAGGAGCTTCCTATAGGCAGAGGAAGAAGAGTTATGGTGTGCTTTTATCAGCACTCTAGAGTTCAAGCTTTGTTTTTTAAGAGCACTTCAAAAAACTGGAAAGCATCACTAGAAAGGCTTTGACAATACTTTTGCCCTGCAGCTTGACATGAAAGAAGGGACTACACTGCACTTAAAGTTATCCTTAGAAAAATAATACAGATTACAGATTAGCCATGCTATAAGCGCAGGGATAACCACACAAACTGCATGCAGCTGCTCTGAAATCAACATATCCTCCAAAGAGCCCCAAAGCAGGATTTATTTACTCAGCAGCACAGTAAAGAGGCACTTCTTTTTTCTGGTTGCATGTTGTAGCAACCAGAACTGGGGTACTCCTCCTCTCACACCTCCTGTCTTCTCCTAGCCTGTAACTTGTGTATGGACATGAAATGAAAAAAAGATCAAAAAGGTGGGTAACTACGAAAGAAAGGATTTTTCACCACAGACATTACACAGTTTGTTGTTACTAGGCCCTGAACATTTGAGAAAAAGCACGTCTTTGTCCAAGTTTCAACACATTCATACATCATTCTTCAACTTCAATGCAAATGAATTCCCAGTAGACGCCTCTTCATGTTACACTTGTTTGTCTCAGAAATTTTCCAGCAAAACTTGGGCGCTTCTGAGTTGACGTTCAGTCTGTTGCTGAAACTTTTTTTAATGAGGAGAAAAAAAAACACTGAAAGGACAGGAAGACGACCTTTTAAAAACTGATCACTTGTTACACAGGCAAAAAACCTCAGGTTTCTGCATCATAATACGAGTTTCACAAAGTCAAATCTTAAGAGCAGGAAAAATGCCAACTACATTTTGAATGTTTTCAAAATTCCTATTTCACCTTTAACAAAAATATCTTTAGGAATTAAAATATAAAAATCAGAAACAAATCCAGAACCTCATATTTTTAGGAAGAATAAGTAAACTACAGTCAGCCCTATTCTGATCAACACAAAATAGCCCATCTCAAGCAGGCAGACTAGCTTCCTAAAATCTTATTTCAATAAAATGAAAAATATTGTAAGCAGTAGACCTTCACACAAACTATTTGGACATAAAGCTACGCTGCAAAACCAAACCTTCAGCAACAAATCAAGTTTCTTATGGCCAAACATAAGTAACAAAGATCCAAGGTAATTTCTGGCCCTAACGAAGAGATTTAACATTATTTCACTCCTACAAATGACATTTCAGTCTTCAGCTAAGGAAGGGTAAAAACCCCAGGAAATATTTACTGTTGCAGTAGACTGCAGCACCCAGCTATTATTTCAGCATACTTTACATGAGTATTCTTTCAGCAAATAAGGAATTAGTTACAGAACAAATAAATATTTTATATTAGTAGGTGCCAGGTCTCTCTAGCTGCTTCAATTTCTTTAGCTCTGGCAATTGTGTACAGGATAGAAGCAGCACAGTGCTAGAATAGATTCCTGACTAGTACTAAGAGAGAATTCCAAAAAGCAGGGGAAAAAAAAACCTGCACACGTACAAAAAACTTAAAAGAACTTCAGTGGAGCAACAGTTACATGGCACAGCCATCTGGCAACCTCTAAGTTTTTATGGGACTGAATTACGAGATGTCTGGGGGACCTGTAATGAACAAACTACCCTCCACTCATCTCTTAGCTATCATTTTTTAATAAGCTATAATCTAACTTTTAACATTTACCACTCCCTTCTTTTGGGAGCAATGCCCTCAGATGCTTCAGTAGTTCTACACAATAACTCCCTTTTGCTGCGGCTTTGACCTATCATACCACACATAACACTTTTTTCACCTAATACAGCAAAGTGGTTTACTTCAGTGAGTGTTTTCTATTCCTATAGCAACAGGCTACTGCTCTGCTTTTAATGGATGAACAAGACTCCCTTTCCCAGACGTGTTTCTGAAGGGTTTCCAAATACATGTAGGTGTTCTTGTGACGCTTCCCTGAAAAATTTTAGTAATGCATTTTCTTCCAGTTTATTACCTGCTCCTCCAAGGACACAGCATCTGTCATGTTATGTAAGATGCATATCTCAGCACATATCCCTTGTCTTGACTTTGGAATACAGAAACAGTTACATATACACAGAAGATACACATGGAAGAGGAACCACAAGTGGAATAGAGCAACGAAAACACATATACATCAAGTATTAACTTAATTAGGCCAAACTGCTGGGGGGGCACAGCATTAACATACAAAAAGGCCATGTCCAAGAACCGTGTTCAAATGCATTTAATTGTGTTAACACATTAGGAATGGGTTTGAGGGGCGGTGTGTTTGTTTTACAGCTGCCAGACATTCCCATCACCTAACCCGTTCTGTAGCAGCAACCGGGCAACAACTCAAAAAGTTTTGCTGTGGCTGTTTACGACCATCACTCTCTCCTGAAAGCAGGATTCACATAAATATCTAACAGTCTATGAACACTGAACTCATCAATCCATCACTGAATAGATCTTCCTGAAAAACTGTCTCCTAATCATAAATACTCTTCCACCTACACTCACAAATCATAAATGGTAGCTCTGTACATGTGAGGTATTTTGTATAAAATTTATATGAAGTTAAGCCATACTCACTAGTGTTTAACTTTGTAAAAAAAATTACCTAAAAATCTGCAAACAAAGTTATCAGTGCATGTATCAGTGACTCTTCTGAGAGAGAAGCTATTTTTAGGGAAACATGTTCTCTGGCCAAATGAGAGTCCTCGTTTTTATAGTTCTTACCTATATATTCTTTGGCCAATGCAGACTACTTTTGCTTCATCCTGCTGGACTAAAAAGGAAGGATGTTATCAGCTTTAAATTAACTGGCTTTCAACTGTGCTTGTACTTCATAAACCTGCCTTAGCCTGTCCCTTAGACTTTCCATAGTTACACTTTACAGACCCTATACTGCTTTTCTCTGCCTGCTGTCTTGAGAAAGTCTCACACAAATATTCTAGTAAATCCATTCTATTGGAAGTAAAGACTTTGTAAAAAGCATTTCCAGATGTGTAAAGTAAGTTAGTTCTGCTTAGTTATCATTAGAACAAAAGAGAACAAAAAAAATATTCCTCTTGGAAAGTGAGCTTGTAGTTTTATTTCCAGTTTCGAAAGGAGAAAATAAGACAAGTGATTTATATAGTGTAGCCTGTACACAGGGGTACAAACCCAAAGTCCGAATCCCAGTACTTCATGCCTAACAAAGCTCACAAACAGGTTGTGCTACAGTTCCTGCACATAAATCCCCTGCTCTAGAGACAACATTATCATTCTTTTTGTCTGATGTCTCCACTGCAAAATCCCAAGGGAATTATGGATATCCAGGCCACTGTAATCACTCAGTTCCTTTTTCCATACAAAGGAATATTACATCTGCAACGTTTGTCACCGCTGCACTTAGCAAAGTCAGATAATTTATAACTTTGATGCACACCACTGCAAAGCTTGATTTTTGGGCCCAATGTCAACTATCACCTTTTGATATACCACCAAGATTTGCGCCATATATTCTTTCCTAGGCAGACATAATGCTCCCTTATCTTGAAATATTTACAACATAAGGCCCACAGATTCAGCAGGTTTAGCACACAATCCTTTTGAAAAAAAATAAGAGCTGAAAGATCACTCAGTTTATCCCACCTTCTTCAAGGTAAGACCTCCTAGGCAACCCTGCCAGGAATCTCTCTTGCCCCCCCTGACTTACTTTCCCCCTATCGCTCAGGTGTGTAGAAAGAGAAATGCACAAGTCTTCAAGCGGTGGAAGCCCACACCACTGAGCATCTACTGAGTCTATGAGGATGCCATGGCAAGGTCCACCTGGAAAAACAGGGCTACAAGAATATGGCCCAAAACACACAGTCTGAGAGAGAAATGTTATTGCAGCAGGTACGTACACCAAGACATCTACATGTGTTAACCAGGAAAACTACTCTTTATTCACTATTAACCAGCAAGCCTGTTTTGGATGCAATGCAATGTCAAAGAACATATCACCTAGCAGCTTCCCTCCCCCATTATTCTGTCCTCAGGAACATGAACAGTTTCAAGAGACTTCCACCCAAATCAATGAACTGGATTCATTAATTTCCTTATCACATAAGGAAAAAGAAAAAAAAAAAGGCAGGTTGCTTAATCAAATCTGTAATATATTTCATATCTAAAATAAAGGTGTATTACACTTCGTCATACACCACATCAAAGTAAACTGCTTCCTCGATAGAACTGGCTTTCTGCAGGGTGTGTGCTTTCCATATTGATTGCCTCTTTCAAATGAAACAAAAATCCAACGCACTGGTAGAAGTATACCCTCCTCAATAACTTATTCACAGTCTCACAGCAAACTATTGAGCTGTGAAACCAGCAGAAACACAGAATTATACAGTAATGCCATTTCCTCATTTTGACACGCTTCTCGTTACTCAGGGCCCATTTTTGTCATATAACCCTGTAAGACATTTTTCACATGCATTACTCTGGAAAGTCTTAGTAGAAAGGGCTGCTCAGCAACCCAGAGCACCTGAGAACCCCGTAACTATCACGGAGTTCCGCCTGACAAAACCCACAGGAGTAAAGGGTCTCCCACATTAGAGCCGTAGCTAAGTTGAAGCAGAAGGGGTATAAATGTGCCAGATCCACCTCAGGCCTCCAAGTCCAACGCTGGCCTGAGGTCCTGGCCCCCATATCCAGGTCCCCGTCTTGCCCCAAGCCCTGTATATGTCCCATCATATATATTTATATAGGACAGCCCCTCCGCGAACCCCGCACCCCAAAGGCGATCCAAACTCTGCCAAAATCCGAGCGCCTTTCCCTCACCTCATCCAAAACACCGAGCCCGTTCCAGCAACATCACCTCCCCGTCCCCTCTGCCCCCAAACCGCGGCCACCCTCACCCTGCAGCGCCCTTGGCCCCATCGCACCCGCCTCCCCTTCCCCACCACCCTCAAAAAACCGGTGTTCCTCCGGGCACCCCCCGCGGCCGCACCTCGCGGTCCTTGAGGCCCAGCAGCAGCACCTCCTCCATGAGGGTGAGCCGCGTCTCCTTGGAATCGCCCTTCTCGTCGTCGCCGGGCTCATCCCGGCGCCCTTCATCGTCGGAGCCACCGCCGGCGCCCCGCTCCTTGTCGGCGGCGGCGGCGGCGCTGCGGGAGGCCTCGGTCCGGCGCTGCACCAGCCCGGAGCTGCGCTGGGTCAGGGAAGTCATGGCTGGCGGGGGGAGAGCGGGGCTCCGGGATGAGAAGGGCCGGGGGCCGCTCCGCCCTACGCGCTCCGGCCGGGGGCAGACATGGGCAGCGGGTCCGGAGCGGGTCGGCCGCGCTGGCGGCGGCGGCGGCTCAATATGGCGGCGCGGGCTGATGTCAGCGGAGGATGTGGCAGCGCCGGGCGGGGGCGGCGCCGGAAAGGGCCCGCGGCTGAGGGAGCGCGGCCGTGACCCGGGGCGGGCACTGCCCTCCGTGCGGGCGGCGGGTGTCCTGCTAAAGGTGCCTCTTTTGCTGCCTCAAGTCCGATTGCTTTCATGGAATCGTAGAACCGTCAAGGCTGAAGGAGACCTTCGGGAACGTCCAGTCCAACCGCCTGCCCAGCGCTGCCGCTGTAACCCCAGAACCACTAAACCGCGTCGCCCAGCGCCACATCCAGGGGTGGTGGCTCCACCATCTCCCTGGACAACCTATTCCGATGCCTGGCCATTCATGTTTAGCCAGAAGGCCGTGTCCGGTTGCTGGCGCAGCCCCTTCCAGCCTCATTCCCTCCATATGGGAAGCGTTCAAGGCCAGGATGGGACGCTGAGCAACCTGGGCTGCTGGAAGGTGTGTGGGCGGCAGGACCAGGGAAGTGATTGTCGCCCTGTACTAGGCACTGGTGAGGCCACACCTCGAATGCTGTGTCCAGTTCTGGGCCCCTCAGTTCAGGAGGGACATTGAGATGCTGGAGTGAGTCCAGAAAAGGACAGTGTAGCTGGGGAAGGGTCTGGAGCACAGGTCCTGTGAGGAGAGGCTGAGGGAGCTGGGGGGTGTTTAGCCTGGAGAAGAGAAGGCTCAGGGGGCACCTCAACACTCTCCACAGCAATCTGGAAGGAGGTTATAGCCAGGTGGGGATCAGTCTCTTCTGGGCAACTGGCAACGGGGCAAAAAGACATGGTCTTAAGCTGCACCAGAGGACGTTCAGGTTGGACATTAGAAAGAATTTTTTCACTAAAAGGGTGTTTAGACATTGGACTGGACTGGCCAGGGAGGTGGTGGAGTCACTGTCCCTGGAGGTGTTTAGTTGGCACTAAACTTAGTGCCATGCTTTAGTTGACATGGTGATAGGAGAAATAAATAACCTGATTTTATTACAAGCAAATGAACTGAGTAGAAAAGTGGAAGGGGGTGGCTTTTATTAACCAAAGAGGGGTCCTTTTTTTTCTTTTTTAATTAAAATAGGCGTGTCGCGGAGTTGTAAGGTGAATGGTTCTGTCTGCACCTGACACCGGGGAACTTTTGCGGCTGGGAATAGGGAAAAATACAAAAAGTAAAGATGTATCTAAACAAAGACCTTCTCTGCCATGTGGTAGCCTATTGTGTACCGGGGACATCACAATCAATCAAAAACAAGGGTAACACCCTCTCCCTGGTCAGAAAGTAATCTTTCGAGGTAAAAACTGCATTTAATGAATATGTAACAGTTTATGTAACCAAAAGAACTACAAAAGGTGGGATTTTCAAACGGGTAGTGTGCTTCCAGACCCTAGTGGCCTGGACACCCAGTGTGCTGCAAATAAAACCTTCCGTTGTGCTTCCTTTGTCTCACGGGTTTTTGCTGTCTTTCTAAATTCGAAAGAGAGATTTCTCTTTCAGTTCAAAGGCTGTACTCAGTGATCTCAGTGGTCTTTTCTAGCCTAATTGATTCCATGATTCTGTGTCACTGCCCATGGCAGATGGGTTGGAACAAAATGGTCTTTAAGGTGTCTTCCAACCCAAACCATTCTGTGATTCCATGATTAAAGGTGTGTATATATGTGTATATATATGTATATATATACACACACACATATACCTGTCGAATGAATTCAGGTGAGCTCTCAACAGTTTTGACTTCAAACCACAAAGATGGAGTCCCTCAGCTCTGGTGTCAACAAGCACCTTTTCAAACCTTTAGCCTTTTTGTAAATGGCACACCAAAAACTCAAAATAATTCTTGTCAAGGCTAAACCCTATGTAAGTTTCCAGGCAGTGTGTTTTATTGCAGAATAAAGGTGCTTGTGGTGCAAGGATGGCCTACACTTTTTAGTTCACAGTTTGAATATTGCATTTCACCATACTGCAATACATACATATAAACATATATAAACCATATATTTAATATATAAATAAAATATGTTAATAAAGAGTTACCTTTAGTGAGTTGTTGGTTTAGGTTTTTTTTAACTGGACTCTGTTTACTGAGAGCTCCGACTGTAGCCTCAGTTGTTTCCCACACCCCCATTCCTTGCATCCCCTGCTATTGTGACTTGGTGACAATTTGGTACAGCTTGAGAAAGAATAGCAGATGGACAACAGTGATCCCCAGAGGATCTGGATTGCTCTCACAAGTGTTTGCTGATTGTTCCTCTTCTGTTTTTTGAAGCCTGCTAATTATTCACAGTCCACTTACTGTATGACGTTCTAGGTTTTTTTAATCCTTCTAATTTATTTTTTTTTTAATTAAAGTGTCTTGCTGTACCAGCTCAAATGCCAAACTGAAGCTTAAGGATATAACATGAGTGTTATTTTTATCAAATAAGCATTTGCTTAAAGAAGAGACGCCACGATAGCATTAAAAGATCTGTTTTACGGAAATGTCTTTTCTGAGTTGTAATTAAACTCAAATATTTATTAATTTAGTCCTCTGTGAGCAACTTGGATATTTTGCTGAGGATTACAATCAAGATGACAGGCATATAATTAACTTGGGTCGTTACCTGGGCCTTCTTTTAACATAGTCACTATGTTAGCTTTCTTCCTGTTCTTTGGAACTCCCAAGGTTTATTAGAGATCAAAAAGAGGTTCCAAAAAGCTAGTTCAGAAAACTGTATGCAAGCTATCCTGGCTCACTGATAGGAATTACCTAACTTTAGTACTGCTGCTAAAATTTTTCTTAAAGTATACTGTTAGTAGAAAGAATTTAATCTTTACCCCATCTGATAATATTTACCTATTTCCCCAGAATGCAAAGCTCTTTGTTGAACACATCTTCTTAAAAGCACTATTAGCAAAATTCTCACATTTCACTTTAGTAATATCATTGTTATAATTTGCCTTGCACCTACATTCAATTCCCTGTTTCTTTCCCTTGGGAAAAAAAAGAGAACATTTCTCAACATCATTTCTATTTTCTCTAATTCCTATCTTTAATTAATGAAGCGATTTTATCTTCTCCTTTCTTACCAATAGAATAACTGTTTGGGCTGTTACAATTATTTTAGCTGTCCCACTGGACTACTGTGACATTTAAGTACTTATGGGTTTAGTCCTGATTGCCTTTTAAAGGTTAATTGATGGAATGTTTATCAGCAACTCTTAGTTTTATTTTTTTTTTATTTGGATCCTTTCCTCAGGGGCATCAAAGGACTCATTGTTTTTTTCAGTTTTGTAAAAATCAGTTTTTAAAAATAGTTGCTAATCATATTATTAATTTGCCCACTTTTCTGTATTTTGTTACAAAACGGGACAAATTAGGATCACTTGTAGGTTAATAATTTTTAGATTTGTTGATCAATTTCATTTTTATTAGGATGAGGTGTACTATGAAGTTCCTTATACTTGACAGTCACTTCTGTGATTTAGTAACTCAGATGTTTGCACAAATTGAACGGTGTAATTTCAAAGAAATTTATTTCTTCATTATTAATTTCAGTTCTGACTCATCTGCTGAACCTAAGCTAATAAGTTCAGTGCAAACCAAATTAAGAACACATATGGTTGAATTTTGAGCCAATTAAATTATTTTTTTACACCAGTGCAACATTGACAGAGAAAACCCAAATCTGAGTGAAAAGGGTGGCAAAGAGGACGCACTTCATTCAGCACATGATTTTGTCAGTGTTCATCCCTTCTACACAGCTGAGATCTGGTGTGTTACCGAGGGCCACGAAGCTTGGCAGATACCCACCCAGGAGATCCTGTGTCACGACCTTTTTACCTGCAATTTATTTTACAGTACCAAGCAGCACTAGAAAAATATTTCTGAGTCCTCCATGGCTCCACCAGGAGTTCAGAATGCTGTAGCCCCTGACACTGCAATGTGTGGTTCATGTCATTTGGGTTGTCACTGGGCATCTTGCCGGGGACAGGAACCCCTTCCTCCCCCATTCCAATGCCAGTGGCATCCAGCCCAAGAGCTGAAGCCCGAAATCTTCAGAGCGTTCTGTTAGGAAGAAATACCGCAAGAGTACAGGCTGTAATCTAGAAACAATTTTGTTCATCTTGCAGTAAATAGCCCTTGTAACTCATCCTTGTTTATTCAGCCCATACCTGGCAGAATGCAGTAGACCTCTGAAGGAGCTAGGGTTTTTGAATTGCTGCTAGCCAACTGGGGAGTTGAATTAAAAGGGAAAATAGCAAATGTGTAGGTCCTAGAGCCTTACTTTGTGTTGTGGTAGTTGCAGTTGCCATGACTTTCTTCCCTGTAGGAGCAGGGGATTACCACAGTCATGCCAGCAGGAAAAGTGAGTGACAAGCTAAATGCAAGCATGTGTTGGGACAGCAGGTCGGGCAAAGAGTAACACCTGAAGTAGGGGCTTGCATGCTCTTAACTACAGACAAATGAACAACCTTAACATCAGGAGCACAAGGCAGAGCTGGGTAAAGCAAGAAGTTGTGGAAGTTTCAACCTAAGAGACATGCCAGGCTATGGAATTTCAGACATAGTGGATGAATCCTAGTGCTGCAGCAGCACCATAACAAGGTACTGCTGGGCAGATTTTCCCCCTGAAGGACAATTAGATGAATAGGATGTGCATGTTTTGAAGCTGACAGCAAGAAAACAGGAGATGTTTTCTAGAAGATGGCTGCTGGCTAACAGAGCTTTGCCATCCAGCAGTTTCGCCAGTCAAGCTTGTTTACATTCCTGCCTGTGTCTTCCATCCCCTCCCAGTGAAAGTTTGACACTCCCAATTACGCCATTAAAAACAAGTGTCAGGTGCAGCTGTGACCTGAATCCCTGTAAGAGTCTGACTTAAAAACAACAGTCAAGAAAAAGGCCATATTCCCCTATATAATTTCAGGGATCTGTTGACAGGGCAGCCTCACATATAGGCACCGTATCATTACTGAAGAAGCATGAAGTATGAAAGCCCAAGGGCTAGAAGCAAAGGGAGACAAATTTCCTAAGGCCAAATGGTCTTTAAAACCATGCTGATTGCAGATATGCTGCTTGAGTGCTTGAGTAGACATTAATGCCAGAAAAGAACTGGAAACAAACTATCTTGAGGTTTGTTCTATCCATTATTATCAGCAGGATCTCCAAGAACAGGATTT